TGCAGTCTCCAGCATCAGACCACGAGGCTGCTCACACACTCCCCCAAAACCTTAGAAAGGGTCCAGCATGCCTGTTCCTCTCAAGCCCTAACCTAACCACTGGGCTGCATGGGCTCCACTGTACTTCTTACAGAGCTGGGGTGGCGCGCAAGGCCCTGGGCACCCTCACTGTCCCTACACGTGCATCATGAAAACAGGCCCAGACACAAGGGAACCGGGCGAGGGGAGCCTTCTGGGCTTTCTGTGGGTAGAGTGTGCTGTGGCCCTCGATGCAGATCCCCAGAATGGGAAAAGACCGCAAGTCACAAGACAGGTGCGGACACGTGGGGCAGGTGTGCGTCTTCTGCTTAACGTCTTCAGTGCGTCCCTCAGTGGCGGGGGGAGGCACAGGTAGGACTGACCTCACTGTGCATGGGCACAGGGGGATTCCAAAGAGAACAAAAGTAGAAGACACAGCCGGAGGCCAGACCTGCGAGCACATGGCCGGAGCCCACCCGTCAGGCGGGCCAGGCGCCCTGGGCAAGGGCCACCAACGTGGACCATGATCCCAGGTCCAAGCAGCTCTGAGGACTGGAAGACTTTCCCTGAATTTTTTCAGGGCAAATTCTCTCCTGTTTAGGATTCATTTCCAACAAGACGTTTTCTTCACCTGAAATAATGTGAATATTCCTTCATTTCACCACAGAAAAACTCATTCACCAGGTGAGGAGGCTGCGAAACAGTGTGTGCACTGAATTTCCTTTAAAAAAACTGGCAAATTCTGCATTCTGTAAACCTAATCGGGACTCAAGGATTTCAGGAAGGGGACCGCAGGACCTTCCTGAAAATTCTCTTTCCAAAGCCCGGGGCTCTCTGCTACAAGAAAACGTTTCAGACACGTGGAGAGACCTACCCAATGAATAAACAGAAAACCAACCATTTACATGGAAACTTGAGTAAGGCTTTTAAATTAAATTTATTTTAGAAGTTCCAAAGTACAAGTGAAGCACCTACAGCCACAGGGCCTGGATGGCCATCGATCGGCAAACTCAAGAGTGGGAACTTCCTGCAGGTCACCCAGGTAGACGGGGCGACGGAGGCTCGAGTGTTGAGAGTCAGCGCTGAGGCTCCCACCACCCGGCCGAGACGGCACAGTCTCCCTGGTCCTTGGCTGATGATGGAGCTCTGGCCCAACTGCTAAAGCTCAGGGGTCCCTGCGCGTCCTTCCTAACCAAGGGTAAGCCCCGGAGCCCTGCGCACAGCTGAGAGCCCCGGTGGCGCTGTCTGTGCACCAGCTAGCCGGGCCCAGACCTCCAACTGTCCCCTCCAGGTCCAAAAAGCTGAAGAGACACAAGACGCTCTGTGGGGAGGGACAGAAAGGCCAGGGTCTGTGGGAGCCCCACGGGAAGGAGGCCTCCACCACAGACCATGCGGACGGCCACAGGAAGGCACAGAAGCAGAGCACGCGGCACCCGGGGCCAGGAGGAGAAAGCCGATCTCGCAGGCCACGTGGCACCTGTGGCCTGCCTGCAAGTGGGGTGGCCTGCGACCTCAGTGCAGCGAGGCAGCAAGCACAAGTGTGGCACCAACTCTGCCAGGTACTGGGCCAGGCACCCAGGAGCACCTCCTCACCCAGAGTGCCACCTCCTCCACCACTGGCACATCTCCTAGTACCCACCAGCAACTCGAAAATGCCATCAGAATGGCCTCCAACTTGGGGCCCATGTTGAGGCTTGGTTTATTTCCCCACTGGGAAGGGGACTAATATTTTAAGTGGCTCACGTAAACACCATAAACTGCGTGGTTCACCTCCCATCCACTGGAAGCAGTTCCTTGAGTAATCTATCCTGTGGGGCACAAATCTGGAATGTGGGTGAAATACAGTATGTGAAGGGTATTTTCGAGTTTCAAGGAATTTTCTGCACACTCCTTTGTTCTTATTTTCTGGCAATAGCCAGGAAGGGCCAGAACTATGCCACAAATCACACAGAAGTCTGGGGAATCAGGCGAGAAAGACGACGTCTCTTTAATTTTGCACGCATGATGTTTGCAGCCACTAAGGTCATACCTGCGTGTGGTGACTGACAACTTTTCAGCTTGATTCAAAGCAAACAGCTGCCGGTTTGATTGCCTAGCAACTAAAAATTGATGGATGACCCTTAAGATGAATAACTACCATAAATCACCTCATTCAAACTCTCCAAGGAAAAAAATTAAAAAACAATGGTTTTCATGACATTTGCTGCACTCCATGATGCACCGTGATGAATCTGGCTCCTCACGGGTGCAGCGCTGTGGTTGCAGAGTCAAGTCACTCTTGCTTTCGTCTTCCATCTCCAGCAAGGTGTGCCAGCCTGAATGTGCTGCATGTCTCTCGGGCCCTGCATGCCTGCCCGTCACTGCAGGACAGAGGAGCTGCTGAGTCCCCATCCCCAGACAGCACCCCAGCAGGACACAGTGGTCCTACATCACAGAGACGGCCGAGGGCCCATGCGCTCGCAGTGGTTACTGCGTGTTTAGCGTAATGGTCTGACCCCCGGCCAACGGTATGGGCGCCGCAACTCCCGCGCATTTGATGAACTACTTCCTGTTGGCACACGTTTCCTCTGTTCCTAAAAGGCCACAAATGTGCTCTTAACTTGCAGGTAAACACAAACCTATAAACAGTAATGAGGCTGAGAGGCGCTCTTGGAACCGGCCTGCAGGACACCTGCCCTGGCGCGTTTCTGAGAGCACGCATGTGCCAACCGACCAGAGGCAGCCCGCAGTCTTGCAGATGTGACTGCACGTCTCTCCATTCAAGGTCAGGTGCTCGCGGGTCCTTCCCAGCCTGTCTCTGCACCTCTGGTTGTCGCACTGGGTGTGATTTTGTCTTTTTAAGGCTGCGTTGACATTACAAGGAAGGCCGCTCCCAGCAGAGAACCAGTCCCCTACCAGACACGGGTTAGCGGCTTCAAGCTGAAAAGGCTCCTGTTTTCTTCCGCGCAGCGTCACCAGCACCCTGAGACTGCCCGATGGGGCGGGCTGCACACCCACCTGTCCCCGAGGGTGCCAGAGCTCCCCACAGAGGGACTCAACAACCAAACACTCTGCTCAGCTCCGACAGTGGAAAGGGGACACGGCTGTGCCCCAGAGCTCAGCACTCCTGAGGACACCAGCAAGCCAGGGAATGAGTCCACACAGACACATCTCCCCTGGGCCCGCCGCAGGGCGCACAGGGCCGCTCCCTGTGCACCAGAGACAGGCGCACACCATCCCTGTGTCCTCCCTAAACTGAGAAGCCTCCAGTGCAGAAAGGATCGCCTTCTGTTGAGTAGACCAGACCATCCCAAGGAGCGCTCTGTGTTGAAGAAACCAAGGGGGCTTTCCGGGTGTCACTTAAGTCACCAACGCCACAGTGGCCCTGAGCTTTCAGACAGTGCGATCCAGCATCCCTGCTCTCAGGTCCTGGCCGGAGGCTACAGCGTGAGGCCCCACCCAGTCTGAGGAGAGTCCCACCCCCCTCACCTGGAGAGTCCCTCCACCCACACCTGCCCAGACGCCCGAGACAGAGAGGAAACAATCTCAACAACAAATGAAATGAGTTGGGGGCCAGGGGCCATGACCCAAGCAGCTAGCAGCTGGCCCCAGGCATCCGGCAAGTGGACTGCTCATTAGAAATGAGGGGAGTTTCAGGTTCAGTGGCACCCGCTTTTAATCCCAGCAACTCAGGAGGCTGAGGCAGGAGGACTGCAAGTTGCCAGCCTCAGCAATATATTGAGGCCCTAAGCAACTCAGCAAGATCCTATTTCAAAGTAAAAACATAAAGAGGGCTGCAGATGTGGCTCAGTGGTTAAGTGCCCCTAGGTACAATCCCTGGTACTAAAAAAAAAAAAAAAAAAAAAAAAATGAGGGGACTTGTCCCTTGTTCCAGGAGCTCCTGGGACCCACATCCCAAGACAGTCCCTCTGAAAGGCTCAACTTCCAATGTGCTGGCCCTGCACCCTGGGAATCCTGGATGAGCAAACACTAATGACCACGCTTTCTGAAGCCAAGCTAAGAGACTGATAGGAATTAGGCCGCGGGCACTTGGCTAGCGCACACTGCTACCTTTAGCTTTCAGAGACAGCACCATGCTCCTGACACCCAACGGCTGAGGCCCATAAACAGCTGCTCTCTGCAGCTGGTAGGTGAGTGGGCTTCTGACAGTGTCCTCCCTGTCCCCAGTCCTGGGCGGCTCAGGGGGGGCAGGTCCACCTCCAGCCCAGCCAGAGCCCTGTGAGGATGGAGGAGGAGGCCACTGGGGGAGCAACCCCTGGAGACAGTGTGTGGCCAAAGTCCCTTTCTCCACGTTTCTGCCTGGCTCTTCCTGGGGACCCACTATCCAGGACCCATCCAGAATGCTGTCCCTTTAAAACTGAAATGCTTGTTTCCTCTCCGTAAGAAAAGTAAATCACGCTATAGTGAGTTGAGCTTTGAAAAAAGCATCCATCCATTAAAGTTCATGGATCCGCGTTTTCAGGTTGTCCCTCCCCTGGCTGTGTCTCAAGTTACAGCCTTGTACAACCCAAGTCTAAATAATATTCACCATGATAAATGACACCATAACTCCGATATCCACAATCAATCTTTGCTTTAAAGATACATCCATCTTCAGTAATGTTGATGGGGATTCTGTGAAATGGGGAACGTGACTGTCTTCCAGAACTCCTCACTGGGGGGGAGGAGGCCCTGAGTGATGGCTGTCAGCCCACATCTGGCTGCAAAAATAAATTAGCCTTATGTAGACAAACGAAAGGGCCGGCTCTGCCGAGGAGACAGCCACTCCTGCGCAGGGGCTAATTCATAGGACTTCTTTCTGGAAAGTTCCTGGCTAGGCAACAGTCTCCTCTGCTACGTCTTTAAAGGATATCTGATGTTGTAAATAACTTCTGTGGGGTGGGGTCAGCCTGCAGGACAAAGGCACAGGAACAGGGGAACAATAACTTTTCTCACGTTCTCACACACGTTCTCACACACGATTAAAATGCAAAACTCGACTCTTCCAAGGAGGAGAAAACATTTATTTAGCCAAATGTTTTCTATTTTAGCAGTACAGTCTCCTTGGCTGGTTTTCTGTGTGTTCGTCTCCTTCACTTTTTGGTGGTTTTCTGGTGGTTTCAGATCTCACTCAGAAAGTAAACCACCTGGGGTCAGGCGGCCGGTCTCCCTCCTCCAGCTCTCCTGCTGAGCAAGTTTCACCTGGAACCCAGAGGCTGTCATTTTTGCAGGCGGGCATGGGGTCACGGATTCTAAGCAACTGACGGGAAGAAGAAACATGTATGTGGCTTTGGTAGGTGGTTTCAAAAATAGCCCAGAGTACAGACTCTTATCAGGCAGGCTCTAAAATAAGTGTAAGACCCAACTCCTGCCAGGAGTGGGGACTACTTACTTGGATACATAGGAGGGAAGCCCTTTCTTGCTGGGTTTTCTGTCCCTGACCTTGGCCCACAGAGAAGCACTGGGAGTGTGGATTCTTAAAGCTTGCTAAAAGCTGGGAGGAGGAGAGGGCAGGCCCGTGTCCCCGGGGACCTGGGGCTCTGTGGGGTGTGCCCACAGAGTGACGTGGGCTGGTCGGTTCCCAGGCCCGGAACAATTGCCGTGTGGGTCCCAGAGCTTGGCAGCAGCGGGGCGCAGCAGCGGGGCGCAGCGCGGCAGCAGGCCGAGGTGGGGAGGGTTAATTCTGTGGCGCTGGGGACTTACAGTAAGGCTGTGAAGACGGCACACGGGCTTCCTGGCAAGGGCTCGCAGAGGGTCGGAGGGGGCTGCAAAATGAACCCTCTCAGGCTTTGTCGCGGCGTTTCCCAAGGCCCAGCCTGGCCCCTTTGATAAATGACACATGTCATTCTGTCAGAGGCTGACACTGCAGCTGGGAGGGCTGGTGATGCATGGCGCCACTGAAAAGGAAATCAACTTTTTGGCACCAAGTGAGTCTGTGCCTGTGTAAGGATTTTGTTTCTCAAAAGTGAAAGATAGACTTAGGATTAAAAAAAAAAAAAAAAAAAGTTGAAAAACAGATTGAACGACAGCTTACACTTAACATAAATTAACTCAGTAATGGCGAAATGTGCTAGCCTGTGATAAATAAAAGCTACATTAGTCAATTATTAATCACACTCTAACTTGTAGCCAGAACCCATGACTTAAATCTGGGGCCTGAGCTGCCTCACAAACAGATAAGACAGTGTCTGATAGATGTCTTCCAGGGAGTAATCAGGAAGGAATCACAGCCATACTGGGCTCACCACTGGGAACAAATGGAAGGTTCTGGAAACAGTGGGGTGAGTGGAGCAGGAGAAGCCCATTCCTCCCAGACACAGAGTACCTACCAACTGAGCAAGGATCCCACACCAAACAACTATATCCAAATACCTTCCTTTCCTACAGGATTATTTTGTGGACTTTGTACACTGCAAATGCATGCCACATTGGTAGAAAACGTTTTGTCCCCAGACCTCCTGAGTTACCGCTTTTAAATCTGATCCCTGCTGCGGGGATTTTCCTAGAGATAGCACTTATTTCCAAACTAACTGTTAGCACAGATTATAATTTAAGCCTCACACTTTCCCAAACAAACCAGCATTTGACATTCACACAGATAAAAGCACAGAGCGGGTGCAAACCTGCCTCCCAACTAAGTGGTTCTCATGTGGCTGAGTTCTACACAATCGTTGCCCCCTCCCCGCAAAAAAATCAACAAGGAGAACCTATTCCTGAAAAATGTGCGGCCTTGAGGTGTCCCCACTCTTCATCTAAATAGCATTAAGTGAAACCACCGCCAGGTGAGTCTCAGGTTAAGTGCCACGTGCTCTGGGCATGGTGCACTCCAGTCAACCCACCTCGGCTTCCCAAGCCTGGCCCCACAGGAGACGGGTGTATCTGCTGTCACCAGGACTGCTGCCGATGAGCTGCCTCTGGTGCTGAGCTGTGTGGCAACTTCTGGGGTTCCACGGGACATGCTCAGGTGGCGGGGCAAGAGAACAAAAATACGCACCAACTCATGGCCAGACCCTCACAACACAAATGTGCACCATCGGCCTCCACAGAAGCCACTTTTCCACCATCCCTGTGAGCACACGGTGCCACTCACCAAGGGCCATGCCTGGCTTGTACATGGTAGATGGCCAAAGAAGCTTGCTGAAATTAAAATTTTTATTTTTTTTAAAAAACTATAGGAAAGTTTCTAATCTATTGTCCCATGATTGAAAACGAGCATGGACCCACGAGGCATTTCCCAAGCCTACGCACCTGCCAGTGTCCATGTGTGCACCCAAGAAGTCCCTGTGCCATGTCTGGGTCTTTGTATGCTTCAACATCAAAACAGCAGAAAGGCCCTGAAGTTGTGGACTTCACCTGACTTCCGACTTGATAAGTAAAGATAAACCCAAGTTTACCAAAAGCAAATTATCTGAGCATAACAAGCTTTTTTAAAAAAGTAATTTTTTAACAGCAGAGCTGTTGCGTCACATTCGTCGCCTCCTCCAATCTGGGGTGCTGCGTGGTGGGTTCCATGAACACCCTGTTGTGGGAACAGGAATAGCGCCTTTGAAATTCTCTCCATATAAACCTTTCATCTTCCATGAAGCAAACTGAGGCTTGGGAGAGGGAGGAAAAAACAGTGATTAAACAAAGACCCCGGCCTGCACCCCACATCCGCTGTGCCCCATTTACCACACGGCACTCCAGAATCGATAACCAGTCAACCCTCGGATGTAAACCCCAGCAATTAGCAGGCAGGCTCCAAATCAAGTCAGAATGTTTAAAACAGCCAGGAAAGCCAACGGCTTCCTAGATGGCCATAAATAAGAGCATGGGGAAGTCATAGGCTGAAACACCGGCCGATGTTGAAACTTCTCCCTTCCTCCAGCTGAAATATAATTTTTCTTTAGTCCATAAAAAATTCAGATAGTGTGCAGAATGTTTATATATTACCAAGGTCTCTCTTTAAAAGGTTTATACTTTTACTTTATGACCTGTCCTTGATTTGACACTTCCGCTCATCAGAAAGGGATTTTAAAATAATCCTGAAGGTGAGGAATAGACATCTGTCAGGGACTAGCTGGGTTTCACGATGCGAAATTTAAGAAGAGAAAGAAATCCTGTTAAGCTCTCTTTAGTCACCAATAGACATCAAAGGTAATAATTAAAGAAGACAGACGTCATAAAACATAAATTTATGTCTCTTTTAATAATGCACAAGCACCGTAGTGTGTAAAACATCTATTAGGTTGAAAGAACATGAAAACGTTCCAATAAGAAGAATCTATGTTTTGTTTTGGGGTATTTTCCCTTCCTTGAAAAAAAAAAAAAGTGAGGATCTTTTTTTTTTTTTTTTTTAACAAGTTTAAACCGAAGTCTTTCAAAACCTTTGCCATCTGTGGGTACATGAACTATGAATGACCCCGGATGATTTGCACTCTGCTCAGAATCCCTTAGAAAGCACGGGAAAAAGTACCATTAAGAGTGACTGATGACTGTCAGTCATGGTTGACCTCATCCAGGCTTTGGTGTCTGCCTCAGTAATAAGCTGTCCTTTATTAGTACCAACACTCCATAAAGGGGGTGTGTTTAGTCACAGGGTAGTGGCCTTCTAATGCCCATTGCTTCTCTCTGAAAGATTGATTAGCGCTCATTTTTACTGCCTTTCCTGCACATGCAGGGCCAGTGCTGCAGAGAATCAGGCCTGCAAACCACGAACCGGAGCGAGGAGGTGGGAAAGGGACGCCGAGAAAGAAGTCGGAGGGTGGGGAAGTGGGGACAATTTTTTCTTTAAAGGAATCTGCCTTTCAGAAAAAAACCTCGCCACAACACCATATGTACATTCAACTCCAGGGCTTGCAAAGGGAGGCCAGGAGAGCAAGCGTGTGTGTCGCAGGGAAATGGAACCGAGGCACCTCTCAAGGCTTGGCTTGTCTTAAAAACAGAGGGGACCCTGGCCGGCAACTCCCTCCCTCCATGACTGCAGTCATGAGCAAGTCAGCGAGAAGACCGCCTGCAGAATTAGGCCTCACAACCAGCCTGACATCAAAACACAAAGATGTAATTACTACCCATTAAAACTGAACATGTGTGAAACTAAAAAAAATCTTCCCTCTACGAGCACATAAAAACCCAGCTACCGCTTTTGTATTAAACTACTAAATTATTTTTAAGAAGCAATTGCTATAGAAACAAACAAATTTATATATACATATACGTGTGTGTATGTACACACACACACACACACACATACAGTGTCTGTGGATCCCTAAATCCCTGTACCGCCTCCACTTGCATTGAGATAACTGAGTGCTTTGGACTCCCAAGAGGAAGAGCAGGGAATCGATGTTATTATCTTCCTCGTCACCCTCACCCCATCATGAGATATCAGGTACTGCAGAACTGGGGGGGGGCGGCAGAGCCTGCTACATAATACTCTGAGCAGGTGCTCCACAGAACAAATGAAGAGAATGTGTCCCATGTGGGGCTCCTCCATTCCAAATATGTCTATAAACAAATTTAGCTCACAGGGTGATTAATTTGCAGAACCCCTCTGAGAATAAGCCAGACTCTCTGCAGTCTAATGCCTTCAGCCAGTTACTCCCAGAAATTTAGCCAAACAGCACAACAAGATTCTACTTTCAGAAAATCGCTGGAGAACCTTGGGACCAGGTACCCTGGTACACAGACACCTACCAGATTCATGTGTCTCCACAAAAGTAAAAAGGTAGGGAGCAGTTGGGAGAGTATGGAGCGCTGGGTTTAGTCACAGCCTACCTAGAAAGACGGCTAACACCTCATCTCCACATCTCAGAAGAGCAGGGTGAAGGAGACCCAGGCGGCCTGGGGATCTCAGCACTGACCTGGGCTCCAGAGGGGCAGGCGCTGGGCCATGGAGCCCTCACCCAGCTTCCCCAGCTCAGTGCAGGATGAGAAGGGGGAAGGGAGGGGGAGCATCTTCCTGAATGTCCGGGAGCTTCCCAGGCACTGATTGCCCAGTAATGAAGTGGGGTCAGAGGACAAGCTCACAGACACCTCCGCCTGCCTGACCTCACCTAGGTACGAGACTGTGTTTCCTTTCTCTAAAAAGATTCTGATTGTAGATTTTAAGCTGACAAATACTACAAGTTCAATACCTGCTGAAAAAAGTCAGGAAACTTCGCTACTGCAAAGATCCTATTATTAATGCAGTAAACTGTGTAATACTCTGTAAGAGCCGTCCCTGCTGTAGTGCCCCCTCACCCGGCCACACAAGCTGCACAGCCACAAAGTAGACCTCACCCACTGCTCCCCCAGCCCCCATGTGCTGGTTCCGATGAGGTTATTGTGTTTCATATACGATGCACTGAACACTGACTACAGGAATGACCTCCTGGCTGGCAGGAAGGTCTAGTAGACGCTTACTTCCTACCACCTTTAGAGTCATAGCAGATTCCCTCCCTTTTAAAATTGTTAAGGATATATATACACACATATATATTAGATATATAAAACGTATATGTATGTAGGTATAGTGCGTGTGTTTGTGTGCGTGCATATACACATACACGTATGCGCACACACACATACATTATCTAAGTTTGGGCTGCTCAAGGAGATTTACATCCAGCAGAGCAATGCTCAGGTGTTGTTTATGGTCATATTATTTGCCCATATTTGGCTTTTCTCCATGCCAGTTCTTTCCCAGGTAACAATAAAGCATAGCAGGAAAAGAGAGGCGTGTTTTACAGTTATTCTCATGCAGCTAAGAACTACAGCAGGGACGGCTCTTACAGAGTATTACACAGTTTACTGCATTAATAATAGGATGCCCCACTGCTGTGACACATTCTGTACTTGAAATAAATATTAGTCACAATTCTTGCGTTTTAAATCCATATATTTTAAAGCTGAGCTGTAACAATGACACAGGCATGGGATGACTCGCCAATAAGGCATATTAACCACTTTGAAAAGAGCCTTCACTTCTGTGAGGCGTTCATTGGTATGTCGTACCATTTCTTGCTATGAATCTTGCAGCTGGCTTTTAAAAATAGTAAAATGTAATAAATACAGGTTTCTGAAAAGTTCACATTCCCAAGTCAGAGTGTGTACTGACCTTCACCGCTGATTTAATTTATTTCATCATATGATCTTGCTGAAGATGCACTTTACTTTTAACTAAAAACTGAGGATATTTTTTACAACCAAATTTCCTAAAACTTGGTTCAGTCCCTGACCATCCCTCTCTCCTGTCTACCCACCCCTTCCAGCAGCTTCAGAGGTCTGATAAGCATGGATGCACTTGACCTATATTTACCATATACTAATTTTCTCCAGAAAGGAGCTGTAGCAAACACCTTTTAAAACCGCAGCCAGCAAGCTGAGGCAGACATGCCTGGATTTCAAATCGAAAAGGCACATCAGATCCTGGATGTGGAGGGAAGCGCCGGCCCTGCTGGGAGCAGAAGCCCAGGGCAGCAGGAGCCCTGTGACAGGGAGCTTGCAGGGATTCCACTTGGCTGTCTTCCTGCAGAAAGCACCCTGATCACAAGAATAAGGGAACCCTGCGTTAGATTTTGCAGAGGAAATAAGAAATGGTAAAATCTACAACAAAGTAATTGATCCTTGACTTTTTTCCCTCCCAAAACGGAAGACAAATTCTTGCTCATGTTGGCGCAAAATTTCAGAAAGGCACAATGGACGTAGGAAAAAAAAAAATGTCTATCATCTAAGAAAACTGCCGACTGCTGCAGCATGTGGTGGTGAGCAACAAAAGCAAGCCCAGGAAGGAGAAGCTGGGATGGGAAAAGGTGGAGGGGCGGCTCAGCCCCGGGCCTTCCCAGGACGTGTGGCGGGGGGCACCCAAGGTGAGCTTCCACCTTCCCCGTTCAGTCACTTCCACTGAGGAACAATGGGATCTATAAACAATTTACGGCTGATTAAAATAAAAATCCAATCCAGATATTCCCAGGCCAGAAAACCCAGGCAGGTATCTCCATAGAGGAAGTACCGAAGTTCAAGAATCCCTTCAGGAATGACCCTCGGGCTCCTCGCCTGGGGATGACCATTAGCAATGGGAACTGGGGGCCATTCACTCCACTTCTCGGAGAGCAGCACCACTGGGCTCTCCTGAACCCATAAATTTAACAGCGTGTTTCTCCAGTGAACTTAAAATGTAGCAGAGGGTTGGTTCGGGTTGCTTATCCACACCCAGTGTGCTATTTCTATGTCTGCTAAGAAAGTAAGCACACAAAAAAACTAATTCTCTAGGTCGCTGTCAGCCATCACTTGAGCCACACAGAGCCCAGCGCTGGGACTGCGGGGAGGACCCCCCTGCAAGTGCACGTTCCCGTGCTTCTAGGAGCTTCTCTGTAGAAAACACTAACCACTGGATTTTAAAAGGTAACAAAACTCTCCTTTGTGCGGTCTGCACACAAAAATATGTGCAGCACCTCACTCCTGACAGTGCCGAGGATTTTAAATTTCAGGATGGGCTGCAGGAACAATCGGAAGGCCTGGTCCCTCCACAAACCCTGGGCTTTGCCCTCTCCAGGAACGGCTGCGCCGTATCTACAGGTATGCGAGCAGCACCTCTCCATGCGCCCACGGCCCGCTGGCCTGGAACCACTGAACACCAGCGTCCACTCGCACCAGGCCTCACCAGCACACATGGGCAGAGGACCGCCGCCTAGCCCTTACTGCGTCACCAGGAACAGTTCCAGCAATGAGGGCTGTCAGACACCCCCACTGCAGAAAGGCCTGACAGTCTCGAAGAACCCTGGGTGGGTGTTGTTTTCCAAAAAATCTACAAGAAAGAGGTCAAGGGCTTTTTTGTTTGTTTTTTGTTTTGTTTTGTTTTTTAGAATCAAAGCCAACATCTA